GGTTTGCTTCATTCTGGGGCGGGTTGTAATCTCACATGTGTTTGCATTAATATCAGAACCTCTAAAAGAATCTCTAAAACTTTGCACCAAAATTTCAACACCCCCATCAGAAGGATGCAAAGCATCCGAGCTAAGCGCATCGGTATTTTGACTAAAATTTTTGTTTATGTCTAAAATATCCAATTTTACTTCGCCCAAGTCCTTTTTATTCCGTACTAAATTAAGAATTTGCTTGTTTAGCTTCTGTACATTTGTATTAAAATCTTTTCTAAAAGCGCCTAAGGGAGTTACAGTACATAGTGAAATTGTTTCAGGGGAGAATTTTTGATTTAGGAGATAAATTAGTTTTTCTAAGCTACTCACGGCTTCCTTCGCGTCGAAATCATTTGAGAGGCAGTCATTTATTCCAGTTAGCGTAATTACATGTTTAAAATGTCGCGATATACTGTTTCTCACGCGTTCCAGCAATGCAGAAATTTTGTGCCCACCAAATCCTCTCGCCAACACATTTTCCGATATTTGTTCCCCATTGATTCTGTTAACAATTGAGTCTCCCAGTAATAAGACAGAATATTCTCCTTCTCGTGGTAAAAATAAATGTTTTCGTTGTTGGTCGAATTTTTCTTCTTGAATATTGGTTGCTTGTATTTTGATTTCTTGGTTATTCTTGCTTTCTTGGTTATTTTCGCTTCGTTTGTTCTGATTTCTGCTCCGAGTTTCACTCTTGCTCCATTCATTTTCAAATTTGTTTTCTGCAATTTTCGAATTGCCCGTGTTTTTAAAACTTTCTAGATCAATAAATTTGTTTCCTTTTTCTTCATCTTTCGTTGATACTGTTAAGTTTTCGATAATTCGTTTAAAATAAGTAACATTTTCGATCAAGTCTTTATACGGCTCGTATTTCATTTAATCGTTCAAATTTCGGAAAGTTTCGAGGTCAAACATGTTGGCGATTAAAAGCGAAATTAAGAATAAGACATTAAGATGAACCGACTGATCGCTAGAAATTTAAGTTGGTTGTGAAATAAATGTGTGCTTTGAAATTTAATTTTTCATCAATTATTAGACCAAAAAACTTTTGGGATTTTTTGTTGGAGAAATTTCTCCTGTTAATTCTAAGGTGACTGTTTTTTCTTGTTTATTCTAAGCTTATTCTCAAAAAAAAAATTCAAATTTGCTTGCGTGAGAATTCACCTGCAGCTGATTTCCTGTTTCAGTTGTTGTATACAATGCGCAATCATCAGCAAACACAACAATTTTTTTAAGCCTGCAGAAATTTGACAAATCCTTTATATACAGCAAAAACAACAAAGGACCCAGGACTGAACCTTGTGGTAGACCATATAGATTGTTTTGGTGTCTGATAGTGAATTCTTATAAGAAACATACTGTTTACGATTTTCAAGGCATGACCTCAAAAAACCAATAATTCTACCTCATAAACCATAAAATTTGCATTTTTCCAGTAAGAATTTGTAATCAACTGTGTTGAATGCTTTTGTGTCGATGATCTATCAGCGTACACACTAAGCCTATATTATCTTCTAAGTTCTCCAATGTGAATACATCATACTTTTTCAGAAAACTTCTCAAGCGATTATTACTCAATTTTTCGAATCTACCCATAATTGGTAGAATAGATATAGATCTGTAGTTACCACTACCTGACAATGTGCCACTTTTATGAATTGCTTAAGTTTGCAGTCTTAAAAACTGAAGTATAGTATGACAACCCTACACATTGAATGAGAAGGCAACTAAGTAGCTCAGATATAACTGGACTTATTTTCTTATTAGGTTGTTACTTTGGTTGTAACTATCAAGGTTGTTTTTTTTTCTTCAGGTTTTTAATTACTTCATAAAATTCTTGGGGTGAAATGATTTCAAAAAACATTGTGTTTTTTCCCTCTACAACATTTAAAATTTTTTGTGGTGCTGTAATAGTTTCGATTAGCTTCTGACCAATTTCAAGAAAAAATCGTTAAATTCTTCTGCAGTTGGAATGCTATGTTTTGAACTCACTTGTTTTTCCTTTTTTTCTAATCTTACCTATGACTTCACAAAAATTTTCGATCTTTTATGGCTCTTGCTTTCTAGTCTTCTCTCAAAGAAAAAACATTTTGATTTTCGACGCAAGGTTTTCAATTGTTTCCGTTGTTTCATGAACTTATTATTGATAAAGTATTTTTTGTATATATAAATTTTTAGTCTTCTTATTACTCTCAATTTTAATTTTAATTGTTATCTTACTTCTCCTATTTTTATTGATTGGAAGCTCATGAATGAATTTTTCACAAGTAGACTGGATAATTAGTAGGATCTGCGAAAAGCAATCACTTACACCTTCAGCATCTTTTTGCAACTACATTTTTTCAGTACTCTGCCACAGTGCAAAATTGAACTTCAGCAAGATCTCATGGTTCTCCAAAACGTTTCAATCATCTCAAATTTCAAGGTTATTTTTTTACGTTGTTTTTTAACCAAAGTATTGTTTTCAGGACCTTGACTATCGAATAAAAGTTGGTAAAAAACACATCTATTGTTGACTGGCTGCTTTTAGTTATTCGAGTACTTTCACTTTTCAATTATTTTAATCCAAGCAGTAGCAGGCTGTTTTAAAGATTTAGAGACTGCTTGTCGACTTAGACACGTCAACATTCATGTCTCAACATACAATGTGCATATATCCTGGTTGCTTTTTCAACTCGAACAGAAAGTTGCAAATGATCAAGAAACTTACAATTGTTCATTTGAGGTACTTTATAGAATACAGTTATAATATTTTTCTCCCCGCCGTTTTCGCATAAAATAGTCACAATTTGCATTTCGTTGGATAACAGTTTTTTTACTTTATTATATGAAATACCTTCGCTTACGTAGAAAGCAACACCGCCATCGCGTCTGTTCCTATTCATTGTTTCTATAGATTGGTAACCTGCCAATTTGAGAATGCCAAAACCCATATAAGCTTTCAGCCATGTTTCAGTAAGAGCTGTAACTTGCGGCAAATCAGTTTTAGTTTCAAGAAAAAGCTCTAAGAATTGATGATTTGCGCTAAAGAACAAAAAATTTTCAAAAGAACGGACATTCAGCTTTGTGTATTACTCCTTTTTCCGACCTTATTCTATTATTTCGATGGCCAGTACGTTTTTACATTATGATTTTTGATAATGTTTGTTCATATTTTCAGAAACACTTTTTGAATTTTTAACCAGTTTTACTATGATTTGAAATGATTTGATCAACATACAGCTGAGAATCGCAATCTTATCTAAGTAATATTTTTTTCTTTCTTCAATCGGTTTTGTTCTTACTTTGAAAATTCATTCAATTAATTTTAATTCTGTTCAACTATGATAGCTGAAAATTTGTCAATCTATTTTAGACACTTCTCATTCCGGTTGCTAAATATTGCAACCAGGAGAAGATATTTACTTTCGGACAAGCTTAGTTGCTGAAAATCGCAACTACAGTCAAAAATGCTAATTGAAAAAAAAGGAAACAAAGAACTCAGGTAAACGACTTTTAAGAACTATGCTTCAATGGCAATTAGAAAAAAAATTGGTTGCTGAGAATGGCAACAAGTCTCAATTTTAAGCACTTTTCACTCTCTTTGCTTTTTTTTGATGATTATTACTTTTTATAGACAATTGAATTGTTTTAAAACTGAGATTCGGACCCGTGTTTTTTGTACCGTGTTTTCTGTACCGTGCCGTTTGTACTGTGCTTTTAAGCATTTGCTTTATCAAAACCATAATGAAAAAAAAAAGATAAAGAAGAACTCGTTCGCCTCTAACCGAACTGTTGAAATAAACTTTTGTCTATGAGTGAGAAAATATGGAAAAACCGAACAAATAATGAGAAGACGACCATTTTTTGTCAGCAAAAATTTTAACCTTTAGAGCCGAACCTTTTGCTCATTCAACCGATGTAAAGTTAATAGCTCACAGGCTTTACTTTTCCACGTTCATGTTTTGTTTTTTTTTGCTGCGGGAGAAAAACTAGCATACAGTTTCATGATTCTCTACTCATTTTCTATTTTGGATGCACCGCGCTCAGTAATTGTCGCCCTATTAGCCATGGGTTGTTCTTTGATAGCTTTCCATAGTTTTTAAATCGTCCACATGTTCCATTTTTCAAAACGAACTTGCTCACGGTCATTTTTGCACAAAACCGACACGCTGCAATTCCAGAAACAGTTACTGAAACCTTTTTTTATTGCCTCCTGGTTAATGTTTGATTCAATAGGAGAGAGACGCTTTGTTGCTTTTGTTATTCATTTTGTTGCTTTTGTTATTCAATTTGTTGCTTTTGTTATTCAATTTTTTTCGTAAGTTGTAATTTGCTAATTTGTCCTCCAACCAGATAAATTTCACAAAAACCGTAGGGCTCAATCCATGAGGTAGATTTCCAGTACCCGGCATAATCTGGTACGCACTCAAGGAGATATCCGTAACTTTAGTGCATCCCAAATCTCGGAAAAACACTTGCAAATCACCAAGAAATTTGTTTCTCTTTTCGTTTAAATCACCCAAATATTTTCTCAGATCAAATGGAGGATTTTTGATTAAGATGGAATACTTACTGGTATAATGTTCGTGTACCCTCAACTGTTCATTCAAACTAGAGCAAATAATTTGCAAGTCGCTCAACTTTTCTGCATGTTCACTCTTACCAGATACCAAGTTGATTGCCATCAGCAGCAACCCCTCACCCACATTCTTATCCGTAACTTAATTGATGATATCATTCATCTACTCTGGAATATCCATGATGTAAAGAGACTTTTTGGATACAAAAATTAATAATAATTGAATTCAATGATAATGTCTTTTTGTTAACTCGAACAACGTAACTAAAAATTTGAAATCGGCCGTTCAAAGTTTTTAGAAACAAAGTTTGCTTTTGAAGGTCAAGAAATAGAGCAACTGTTTCTCAGCTATGTTTCATTCTGTCTATGAATTAAGAGTGAAGATAATAAAATGTTTTCACTGTTCAAGGTCTCAAAATACCAAGGGACTGTCTGATAATGGATGTGGGTGCGGGCACTGGACTCAGCGGGGAGGCGATGAGGAAAGCTGGATTCAGTGGAACGATAGACGCTCTGGAACCCTCACAGAAGATGTTCGAGAAAGCTATAGAGAAAAACATATACTCCAAATACTACTCAGATTTCTTGATTGGAAACAAGGCAAGCGCGATTGTAGATATCCTATTAGTATGATATCTCAGTCGGTTTCCACTCGAAAAAATGGAAGGAATTGCGTCACTCGAGGAACAAAAATTGAGATCATCTCAACGTCCTTTAAGAAAATTAAAACGCTGCTAACAAATTTCATTGATATAATTTCAGGAAACCACAGTCTCAGGTGACTACTACGATCTGGTGGTTTCTGTCGGAGTTCTCGGAAAAAGATCAGTCAGGCAAGTAATCAAAAAAATTTTTTTTAATTTCCGAAAAAATATATTTTTTAAAGTACCTGTTTACAGGAATAAAAGTCTGTATGAAATTTTGCGTATGGCGAAACAAGGAGGACTAGTTTTAACCATGATGGTGAAGGAAAGCTTCGATGAAATGCACTTCAAAGAAACGATCAATGAAGTCACTGGTGATGGAAAAGCTACATTGGAATACTCCGAGACGTTTGACCGCTGCTACAGGAACCACTCGGCCATCGGATTTATAATCAAAAAAAGTTGAGGTGAAACTGTTTCGTTAAAAAAAAAATTGTAATAGTACTCTTTTTGTCTCCATTCAAATTTGTAATGGTTTAATTTGCCAAATACGCTTCAATACGACCAAATATTAAGCGTTAAATCGTAGCTTCGCTAATTGGCCAGATTGAACCCCCATACTTGTAACAAAAAAGTAGCAGCTAAAATAGTTTTTTTTAAGTTTGAGCTCAAGATGTGAACTTGCAAATTTCAAAAGGCAAAAAAAATTTTCTCTGTTAAACTGACAATTCCGTTTACTCAATATTAAAATGCAGTTAAACTAAGATTAAAAAAAAACTGCTCGTATCAGACCGAAGCCCCAAATGTTCCGGCTGCTCTTTAAGGTCCCGATAAAACGTTTTCGATTAAATAAATACCAAAATATTTTAAAAGAACTTTTTTCTTATTTTTCTTTTTTTTTCTAACTTTTCAATCCCCACGCGCTATGTGAAGCACAAACTGATAATTTGGAACCAGATCTAAACTAGTATTTATCATTGGTTATTATTATGATATTTTATTTCTATAAAATATTAAATACTAGCCATACTAACCAATCATACTCCATCAAACTAACAACCCACTTATTTGTAAGTGTTGAAACTACTTGTAGTTTGAACACCAGAGCAATTTGAATTTAACTTACAAGTAGTTGCTTTCTCCAAGAGACCGACTCGTAACAAAACCATTATACTCTAGATCTATTGAGACTAAGAGATATAAGAGTAAGATTAAGATTGGTATTAGACTAAGAAGTTGCACGAATCTATCCGGCCGAAAATAAGATAGCGTGACGAGCAGACGGTGTACCTTATCTGAAATTACTCTATGAGTTATAACCAAAAGGATATAACTCAAATTTAAATGATAAATACTGACAACATTGAATAACCTGCCTCAATTCTTTTTGGAATGATTTAATTTATCGAACTTTTGAACAACAACGTGTCAAGGTTTCGAATCAACGAGATGAAAAAAGAACGCCTAAGTATCTCTTCATCTAATTATTAGAGCAGATCATAGCAAAAAAGAAGTGCAAAATTTTCAAACCAATTTGTCAAACTTCAAAAATTTCAGCTGAATTCAGTAGCGTGCCAAGGAGGAGGGGGAGGGGGGATTGGCGACCGCTCTCCTTCCCTCAATTCTGGTCGCCAATTTTTTCCAAAGGGTCCGTCCCCCTTTGGTATACTTCTACGACATCAATTTTTTGCTAACTAGCTTAAAAAAAATTCTAAAGTTGCATTTGGCGCCAATATCAATAATTTTGAGGGAGAGCGCGCGCCGAAAAAAGCTATTTTTTGGTCAAAATTTTCCAAAAATTGCTTAAAAACTCCTTTTTTAACCTGTTTTTCAGCCCGACAAAATTTTTGACAAAATAGGGTCTGTATAGTTTTTTCGGAGAGCTCGGAAAATTAAATTGGTCAACCTTTAAAAAATGTCGGCGAAATTCAAAATTTTTCGAAAAACTGCCCCCTTCGCTCTAGAAAAATTTCTGCGCGCGCCACTGGTTGAATTTTACAGTTTCTGAAAACAGATCAATGAATAAAGCAGGAAGTTGCGAACAATGCTTAGACCTCGAGCTAACACGCTGAAAACAATTACTAGCAGCTTAATGCAGTTTTCAGCATTGCGCAAAAGTAAACTAAATCGTAGGCTAGCTGTAATTTCACACTTTGAAATAACCAAACTTGTGAAAGAAAAAACCACCTGCCAAAAAAATGCCAAGGGGTGGTAAAAAAAATTTACCTGTGACCTGTGATCATTTTTTTGTGAAGTTATGGGGGTTTAAAGATTGTCAATTTGGCCAATTTGGGAAAATTAACATGCGATAAATTTTATCTGTTTTGTTTCTCAAATTTGGGGGGGGGGGTATAAAAATTATTTTAAAAGTGGTCCATCCTGCTGCAGTTTTGCTGTATTGGGCAAAATTTAGTGCGAATAAGGCCTTTCCCAGAAAAAAAATTTTTACAATTAACAAAACTCCAGAAGAAAGTTCAGTGAATTTTTTCCATTTGGTCGAATAACTAAACTCAGCAAAATCTTACTAAAAATTTCAACAAGTTCATATCTGTTTTTTAGGCAGTCAACAACTCACGAAGTAACACACGACAACCCATAAGCTCAAAGACAGGGACCTTGAAAAAAAACTCTTTTTGAACTAAGCACAATTTTGTTAAAAGAATGTTTTAAACAAAAACAAAATAAAATTGTAAAAAGAACTAAAACAAAACTTTCATTTTTGCAATTTTTCGAACTAAAATTGCCAGATTTTTTTCCAATTTTTCTGTTTTTTGGTTTACGATCAGATTAAAACTTTTCAGTATCAAAACTTTTGGTATTCAGGACATCGCTTCCAGTGGCTCCCATGGTTGCATCTTAATCCAAATAGTTCAGAAACAAACACGCAAATAAAGTTCAAGTAACAAAGGTACAGAACGATTTTAAGATACAAAAAGAATCTTTTTGTTATCTGAGTTAAAAGAAAGATAGAAAATTGAATATATATTTCGGGCAAATTTTTTTGTTTGCATCCCAATTTTGAATCTGTTTTAGCTTTAGTTTGGAGATTCCATAAGGTTTTTCGCACGCTTTCGCCGAAAAAACGCATCAACCGATTATTTTCTTATTTGAAATTTGAAATCTATATGAAACAAGAGCGAGTTGAAATAAGGACACAATGAATAATATCAGAGACTCCCAGCATTTGTTGATACAGACAGATCGAAAAGTGCTTCAATTGGAAAAAGTTTTTTTTCATGGGAAAAAAATCCTGTATCCGATATGATAACACTAGCCAATAGCAAGAGTTATAAGCTGGAGCAAGTATCAATTCCAACTCAAGATATGATACAAAGCGTAACAGTTAGAAAGCACATATCCCGTTAAAGTACTCTTTTGAGTGGCAAAAATCTCCGTAATTTGTATTTCTGGTATAACTATAAATAGTTTATACTAAAATTCATCTTTGTTAATCGTTTCAAGATCCTAATTTGTTCATCTTATTCTTATAAAGTAAACCACACAAAGTTCGTCGTATTGCCAATCATGAAGAAAGACTCTCATGCTAAAACCCATAAAACTCTGTACTTACACTTCAACCGGCATGGAGTCTGAAAAGTTATTTTTAACTACTAAACGCAAACAAAGACCCATCTTTTTAGAGAAATAATCTTTGCGAACTAGCAAATAATATAAAAAGATGATCAATCAGTCATGGTTTTTAAACTGCCTGCCAAAAAAAAGGATTTTTAATAACTTATTCCAACTTCACATCAAATTGGGCTCTCTCTCTCTCTCATTGAATTACCTTTGTTTAATTTGAACGTTAAATTCATGTTATAATTTTTTTTAAGAAAGAGTTAACGTTAGTGTAAATTTCACATAGGTAAATGTAAGGCTGCATGGGGAGTAAGTTAGTCGGAGACAATGAACTACAGGTCAACCAAAGGTGACAGATAACACCGAAGGTTAAATACCAGTTAACACCAGCAGATTGAGTGAATGCAGTTGAATTGAAGAACAAAGAACTAAAATGGACTGTGAACTAATTTAATCTTATGACATTCCCCTTGTTGCGGTGGAATGAAGAAAAAGAAGACTTAAAGTACTCAATGAAATTTAGGTTACTGACGAAAAATTTTAGCTTAAGTTTTGAGTACTGCTTTCAACTAGATACAACTTAAGTGTTCAGTTTTTGACAGCCCTACTTTGACATTGGAAGTTTTAGGTTTCTACTACGCCTCTTTTATCTTGGTAAGGTTTAGTCGTGTTGGAAATTTGCACTTGGTAAGATTTAGTGACATATTTTCTTTGTCTAGTTTCCTTAAACCGATTTATGCTCGATTTCACTATCTTTAATTACAACCTGAATGTCAACTATAAAAGGGCGTGCCTGTGGAAACTCGGATATGATTGAGTCAATTATTCTCTGAAATTTTGCAGGCCTTGTGGTTAAACCGTATATCCCGGTTTTAAACCGGTACTTACCTGTTGACTGGCCCCCACTAATGAAAAAGTACATTGTAAGCTTGTTCCGGGTTCGCAGTCCGATGGCGTATGTGAGATCCATCGTTGAGAAATATTCATCCCCGCCTTTCGTTCGCTTATCGTTTGCCCCACCGTTTCCACGAGCTCTTCGATGTTTGTCGTTTGATATTTATTCTAATGGACTTGCTTACTTAATTCCTTGGATTCCAATGCTGATTTTACTGACCCGTTTTCTTTCCCTGTAAAATTATTTGTCTGAATAGTCTTCTAGTTTTTCAAATTGTCCTTGTTTCAAAAGTATAACAGTTTTTTTTTATAAAATTTTACCTGCTGTGTTTTTGCAACCCTTCTTCCTTTTTGCTGTACTGTGATAAGTTTTTCAAAACATTTTGTTTTCCCCTTCCAGTTTATTAAGTTACCGACTCAACGAAAGATACTGTTAAATTGCTTACTGAAGTCGTGTTGCCATAGGTCCAGTGGTGTCTCTGCTTCGGTCATTTCTTCACCATCCTGTTCTCTCTGGATAGACGTCAAGTTCTCCCCGGGTGTTTTCTGGATCAGCTGCAACCCATGACTAGACATTAGCTCCCTTCCAACAATGGATGGTCTGCTGCCTCCTATCACCTTGATCTTCGCTTCGACGGCCCATCCAATCGTTTTCAGCAGTACTGTCATAGTCCCCAGTAGATGTAGTGGGTTGTTCCTGTTTCCCTGATTTAGATGTCCTCCGGTTGCAGCTCGTTCAGTTTAACTCCTGCGGTGCCCAGTCTTCTCCATAGCTCCGTAAAGGCAAGTATTGAGATCGGCGATCCGCTATCTATCCAAACGCTCGTTTACCATTAATTTTTATCGGCAGTTTTGCGCCCGCGAGCTTCTCCTCAGTTTCTTTCTTGAATGTATAGCCATAGCTACATAGCCACCCGAACTGTCCTAATCGCATGACCTGTGTCTCTTCTCAGGCATATTGACCCATCCAACGAAACTTTCATGTTGAGAAAGGATATTCTCCGAGTCCCCGGATTCACTTGTTCTCCTGACCTTGAATTAGTGCCACTGCCGGGCGTCATTCGTTGCTACGTTTGACTTGTTTTTCGGCAGAATTTGTAAGTCGCGCTTCTTTTCGGACATCTTGCCACATATTCTGGAGTAATAATGGGTTGATCACAATGATAGCACTTTTTGTTTCCTAGTTGCTTTCCCCCTCGGGGTTCAAGAATTCCTCGGAACGGTAGCCGTACGCGTTGTCTAACCTTCCTATATCAGCCTTGGATTGGTCCCACCGGTTCCAATTTGATCTAAAATGCTCCACCGGTTGTGCTGCTCGGTGTTGTTCCTCCGGTTGTCAATAAATTCGTTTTCGCAAACTTGTCTCCGGGCTCGTATGATAACGCTACACGATACACTTCCTCTGGTGTTTTTGTTGATCGGCATAATTCGTTTTGGACATCTCTTTTACTCAAGTTCACAATGAATACATCTCGTAAAATCCTGGTCTCCAAGGTTAAAAAAATGGAATGTGCCACCAATCCACTCAAGGCCGAATGGAACTCTTCCAAAAATTCCCCGATGTGCTAAGAGCTGAAACGTTTCGTACGCTTCGTTACGTTTTTTCTTGAACGCCGTTTATATATCATCAATGACCCTCGAGTAACGGGTCGCTGTCAAGTCTAAACGTGGTTTCCGCCCGTGGAAATCATCCTGTCCTTTTTCCCACAGGCACAGGTATAAGTTCGATATCAGTGTCTGTTCCGCCTCCAGTCGATTGTTTCAATGTCCACGCCCACTGGTAAGGCCGCAACTTGGGCCGTTGTTAGCTTAGCCGCATAGCAGAAGTTTTTCGAATTAAAATTATGTTTTGGCACCATTCCCCATTGGATACGATAAAACCAAAAATTCCATAGCATTATTGGCTCCGCGAAATTAGGGGACCAGAACGACATAATCCCCAGTGGGTTTGTCCCTTCACTTTGGCCTGTTGGCTGCGCCATGTCAAGAACGAGTTATCGAAGGTGTAAACTTCAGATAGATAAATGTAAGGCTGCAGTGCATAAAATAGTCAGAGACAATGAACTACAAGTCAACCAAATGTGACAGACAACTACGAAAGTTAAATACCAGTTAGCACCAGACGGATTGATTGAATGCAGTTGGAATAAGGAGAATAGAACTAAAACGGACTGTCAACTAACTTAATCACCATGAAACTAATTTTTTGATATCTGTTCAAAACAGTCAGATACAAAAATGTCTGAAAAATAGCCCAAGCAATAATTGTTTTATTTTACAAGCCGGTAGACCGAGAAATGTTCTTTGTTCAAACAACATAAATCGTAAAATAGCGCCCGCCGCAGTCGCGCCAACGTTTTGCGAGCCGGCCAACTGAATTTCACAGACGGCCTCAAACAGGACTGTTTTGTATCGGACTGTTTTTTTTTATTAGACTAATGATTATTTGGACTGTTATGCATTGTACTGTTTTGTATAGGACCGTTTTTTATCTCGGAATGTTTCGTATATGCCCCTTTTTTTAAATACTTTTCAGTTCGATTTTGATATTAGTTTTTGATAGTGCAGCCCTTTTTTGGCTGAAATTGTTACAAACCGAATCTTTGGTAGACGCTGTTCATGGACTCTGTCATCTGTTCACGCAGCAGCACTCTCATCTCCCTGTAGGAGAACTGGGTCACCTCTTCTCTGTTTGGAGAAGCGATGGAGACATTAAAGGCCACCCATGCCCCCGAGGTCTTGTCGGAGAAACGGACCACCACGCAGGAGAACGTAAGAGCTGTTCCGTTGACTGTAATTTCGGCACACTGAAATCTTCCATTTTTTAGAAGTTCAATTTTTCATCGGCTAAAACTGTTCTCAACAGAGAAAAATGTTGTAGAATTAACAGACTTGAACATGAAGGTGGATGGACGATATGGTAGTCTGAAGATCAATCAAATTACATGATCCATTGTTACATCGTCCATGACGTATGGTTCCTGACGCATGGTCCAGCACTTATGATCCATGACTAATGGTTCTTGACGTATGGCCTATTATTTATGTTACATGATCTATGATGCCTGATTGCTCTAACTTACATCTTCGTTGATTTTGTCCACGACCACTACAGTTTTTTCGGCGGTTAAGTCTTCATACCACAATCCATATGGCTGGAACTGTTGAGCCAGTTTGCCAGTCATCTTGTACTCCCCAATGTATGTTTCCGCTTGTCCATATTTCACGCCCAGAAGCACGATCAAGGCCAAATGTGCAATTGGTGGACGCATGGTCTAAAAAGCAGAGATTATAATTTAAAAAGGTGAGAGAATTTTTTACACAGTGGCTATGCTGAGCTTCGCACCATGTGTCTTAAGCAAAACTTGATATGCCTTAAGCAAAACTTGATGTGTCTCGGCTAATGTGTCTTAAGCAAAACTTGAAAAACATGATTGAACTTTGTTGAAGAAATCGTAGGCTCGAAAAATAACATTGCAGTTGTTATAGAAGTCAATTACCTTCAAAAAAAACGGATTTGAGCTTAACTTCATCCATTTCTTTCTGATGACCAAAAGATGAAAACGATGAGAAAACATTTTGGTCAAAAAATTGAGGTACGGAAAGTTCTTTTAATCTTTCAACCAAACAATCTGCATATCCAATAAGAACAATCGGGGATAAAGGCCCTATTCGCTATAATATAAGATCAAAAAGAAATATAACGAAAAACAAAAATTCAGACATATGAATGCAAAAATTTCAAACAATTGCCACAAAAAAACTTGCGGAAAATCTGAAAAAACTCTCAATTACTCTCTAAAATATCACAGTTACATCAAGAATTATCAGTTATGAAATTTATACGCAACGGTTAAAGAGCTAAATCACAACAAAAAAATAACACTGAAAAACGCAAAAAACTGGAAATTAAAAAACATGAAAAATTTTACAAAAATTTCAGCCAGAGAGAACTTGCCTCCACATTCCTTTGTGGACAAGAAAATTGAGTCAAATTTGCAAAACACATCTGCAAATTTATCAATTTTCGAAATTTTTTTGACGAATTGAAACAATACGTTGAACTATCAAGTTGAATTGATTTCAAATAAAATTGTTTAAACCTGAAACACAACAAAATAATTGAAACTAAAACTAATTTCAGCGCATTTTAAGAAAAAAAAAGATCAGAAACCATGCATCCAAAAAAACTGACAACCTATTTGCAAAATAAGATACTAGCAGAAAAATCCAAAAAAGTTTTTATTTCTAGAAAGAATTTTTGGCGCCTATAAAAACCAGAAAAACATGAACTATAATTACCTTCTTGAGAATGAAGAAAAAATTTTCAAAAATCTATAAAAAAATTAACAAAATTATTTACCCGGCAAATACGTTGACAAACTTGGGGTGGAAATCAATAAAACCGACAAAAAATTAACTTACATCTAGGATTTTTTTCAGCTATAAAAAAGTAACCACTTTAGTCGTTGAAGCCAGTTTTTGAATTACAGCTGTTAGACGTGCATCTTGAGTAGAAATAGAAAGTAGAGATATATTTGGAGATGACCAAATTTCAGTCATCCTGGAACAAACTGTTGTAAAAGAAAAAAGTCTAATACTCGATTGTATTACCTTTGCTTATCGAAAAGGTAAAAACAAGGGCTTAAACAATTTGTGAATTGAGTTCATTATACGCTGGTGAAAATGCTCAAAATGCAGAAAAACTAATCAGCAAATGATGCCAAAAAGTAAAAATGCAAAATTATTGATCCCAGGATGTGAAAGCAGAAAAAAAAGGTTGTTAACCCAGATTGGTTGTTGCTCTTCACAGTTTTTCTATTTTTGCTGACTGATTGAGTGAAAACACTGACTGGAAAAAACGTATGTAACTCCAGACGCAGTCTTCTGCATTCTTTTGCATAGTGGTGTCTGAAGTCGCGAGGAAAACCCGACTCCTTGAAAAAGGTATAAAAACGAACGCGAGTTCCAGAATAGCAGAGCAAGTGGTAGGCGTTGGCAATGATAACCAATGGTTTTTCATATTATACTTGCCGAATAAAAGCACAAGAACTAGGCTAAGTTAACACTCAGCAAAATTAATCTACTCTGTGGGACGTTTTTCAAATTAGTTTCAGCAATTTTTAATTAGGTCGAAAGTATCTTCAATTTTTTTTTTAATTTTCAAAAATTTGGGTTTCAAAAATTCAATGGTAGTTTTATAATGCAGCATAAGCAAGATCTTTAAGTTAAATGAATAGTTTGAGCCTGTTGCACTGAATTTTTTTCTGAAGTTTTCGAAAAACTTTGTTTTGTTAAATAATTCAAAAAAATCTTTCAAAACAACTGCTCTTCTTTCATTTCCTTAGCTAGAAGCAAACAAGTTAGTCTTACGTAAAAAGGGGACATCAAAACTACATTTTACCTATGTAAACTATCAAAAAGAATAGTTTTGCATTAAACAAATGACAGGCTCTGAATATTACGTTTTTGGATTGCGGGAATCATTTTTCGGGTGTGAGAACCGTGGGAATTTCATTAGCATGGGGTTCGTAACAGAAATTTATTGGGCATAGAGTGCAAACGAGAACTCCAAAACAACATTTTGCTGGCAGCAAAATTCCGCTGGCAGCAAATCACACCATGGTTGGTGTGATCCGAAAGCTAAAAGATTGCAAAAAAATGATTTAGGCGCGATCAAAATTATTGTCGTCAAATTCAATTTAAAAAATAGTTTCAAACTAATGTACTGAGTTATTTTGTAAATCTTTCGGAAAATTTAGTTTCGCTAAGTATTTCGAAAACATCTTTAAAAACAACTGATCTTCTTTAAATTCATTAGCTAAAGGCAAACAATATGGTGTGAATGAAAATTGGGGAAGGAGTAGATCGAAATTATGTCGTCAAAAAATGAATGGAAAAAACAACAACTTTTTCTAATATAATTTAAAGAATTTTTTTTGTCAAAAAGCGCTAAATAAAACATCCAAACTTAGTTTTTTTCGAAGCAAAATAAAATTATGCATACTAAAAGTCAAGAAAAACGTATTTTTTATAAAAATGAGCGTTATCCATTGTATTCCTCGCTCGAAATTAGGCTGAACCTCAAATTTTTCGAACAGTTTTTCTCGATACTGAGAGACGTTTTTTCACATTTTCCAATTGTCGTTCGAGTAACGTTGAAATAACTTCAATAAGAAATATCACTCGACCCACTCCGGTCTCTAATTGTGGTACGTACTTGCGTGGAAAAACAACACACCGGGACTAAAAATTTTCCCGCATTTTCAATGATCGAACAAAATATCAAGTTATTTAGTGGAAATTCTCCCTGATGTTCATTTCAAGCGTCCAAAAGTTGCAAACTAATGTATTGAACGTTATGCTTTATCTCATATATTTCATCTTTTTCATGATGTGTCATCGCTGTACCTGACAAAAAATACTCGAATAACTCCCACAATCAATGTTCAGGTTTTTAAAAATTTGAAAAAAAAAACTCAAAAACATTTCTTATTTTTCATTTTGATTAGATGAAATAAATAAGCCAGTGCTTAGATAACTTTCAGACAACTTTTTTTGAAGGAAAAGTACTGCAGTTTTTATAGGATTGTCGTTTTACTGCAAGTTTTTCATACCAGGATGTCTAGAATTGCCAGGGGCAAATCTAGAATTTTTTAATGAGAGGGCGCTTTTTCAGAAGCCTTCGAAAAGTTTGTCGACTTTTTTGAGGTAAACCAACTTGATTTTCTGAGCTTTTCCAGATAAAGACCCTATATTGATTACATTTTCTGAGCTGGAAGCAAATTTGCGAAAAAAAATAAGCCACCGTAGGAAAGCATTGTCCAAAAAATCCCTTTTTTGCACAATCTTCGTCCTTATAGTTAGTTTTTAATGGCGCTAAAGGCGTCCTTGGAAAAATTTTAACGTCAGTCAGCAACAAACAAACATCTCAATTTAATCAAAAGCGGGTTCGATTCTTCCCTTTAATTACATCCGCTACTGTATGATATTTTTCTGAATAACCACCGAAAAAAACTTTGAAAGGGACGGTAATAAAGAACTGATAACAGATGTAAGGAGGCCGAAGTAATTGTGTTTCATGTTTCTAGTTTTATAAAAAAAAGATTGTATATTTCTTCCGCTCTTTCAAATAATTGTAAAAATCAACTAACCCAAACACAAATCGGTGCTCACAAATTATTTTATTCTGCTAAACTTTATCAGTTTGCTACTTATTGATATCAAAATCAATGCATCGGCACAGAGGCTAAGCAAATAAAAATCTCCAAAAAAGTTGGAGCAAATGAAAATTGTTAACAAAACTGTCAAAAAACAACAACAGTTTCAAACAAGCTTTTCGTTTTTACCAAGCGGCCGCAAAGCCGACAAAACCTGAGCAGACACCCAATGTGCTGGCAACAACAAAATTGGCATAACAAATTATCAAAAAAACATTTTAGCAGTTAGTTTTACAACTCTGAAGTCTTTTAACACATACTATCTGAATTTGAAAACTTGCAATTGATAGTAACAGCGACACAAAATACGATAGTATAGGACAAAATACATAGGATGGTACAAGCCGATTAAACATAAACAAATCCCTTTAGGCCGAATATAACTTTCACACGACAAAAAAGGAAAACCAACAAAATATATGCAAAGTCAACGATATTAACTTTTATAAATTTTAGGAGTTCGATGTTGAACTTAGTCGATATTTCAACTAATTTTCAGATGTTGCAACTAGGCCGATAAAACATGAGGCCGATAAAAATTGCAACTAATTTTCAGATGTTGCAACTAGGCCGAAAAAACATGACCAGACGAACGAAAGTCAGGTAGTTCCATTTTACCCAAAAATAACTTCAGTTTCAGACATAGAGAAAAAAAGCAACAGCCGCAGCCGGGACTTAAACTCCAGACATAAGTCTTACAAAGAAAACCGCATTACCTTTAGGCCAAGAGAAAACGAGTCTGGAAGTTGAAACGGATCAATAATAAAGGAAGCAAAGACTCAAGAAAAACTGAAGAAAATTTGTTTACGGGGAAAAAGTTTAGTTATTGACTACAAGCCACTTGCTATCGTAAATAAAATTAAATCTTTGAAATTGCAGAGCACCTTTTAAGCAAATTTTGATAAACTATCAGCCTTAACTTTAAAGACAGAGGCAAAGCAGAGCTTCGCTTGCCATCAAGCAGACAGGAAAGAGAAAGAGTGATTTTTAACGTTCAAGGGAATCCGAAGGAAAGTAGAACTTTTATGGTTTCCTCGAGTGAGCCAAATTTAGGC